CAGAAACATTTGTAAACCAGGGAGTGAAGACATCAGGGAGATGCATTGCAGTGGGGAGGCCTAGGTACAATAGTGGAGAGGGGGGGATGCAGTGAATGGGTCAGTGACATGGTTTAGATAGAATCCTGTGGGTGAGAACGAATGAAGGTGAAGAGCTTGTACATTTCAGAAACTGTGGGGGTGGCAGAGTAAAGATGTGTGTGTTAATGGGACATAATGGGTATTACTGAAAGAGGGCAGAGTTAAGATTGCATGGGCAACCGTAACTGTGCATTTCCTGGTTTTCAAAAATTTGAGTTTTGCTTAACGCAACACTCTGCAACGAGATGACATACCACCAACCAACATTAACTCTGAGTTAACAGTTTTTTGCTACTGAATATTTTTATAATATTCTAAGTCACCTTTGTCTCATTGATAGGAACAAGCAACAGCAAAGGAACTTAGCAGCAGCAAAGTCTTCCGATATGAAAAACTTTGACTATAATATTTTGATTGCACAAACCTTTTGGGGATTTCTTTTTTGCTTTCTTTATTTTAGGTTTCAGTTTTTCCACATCTTCCTCCTCCTTGTGTTCCTCTGTGTTCATTTCATCTTTAAAATATGATGCAAGCAGTCTTCCTGATGACTTCTTTTTTCTGGGATTATCTTCCAGTGGGTTATGCTGTAGTTCAGCAAGGGACATCGCACTGTAATGCAACACACATCACTGTCAGCAAGTACGTACTATTTCTGTTGTTAATCCACTAAAAAGACTTGACTTCTGAAACAGCCTCTTCCTGTTTCTCAAATTCATTAGCTCTCCATCTTCAAAATCCCATCAAAAATATATTTTGTCTTGTTTAACTATTACAGTGATAATGGTGGCACACATTCTTGAATGGTCTATCCTTAATTTCTCTCTCCATTTTATTATCCTAAGTCTTACCTTCTAAAATATTTTCATGTGGGGATTTGCACAAGTAGTCTTGTGACATAAATTTAAACAAGATCTTTGCAGGATCAGATACACAGTTCACATGAAATAAAATATAATAAAGAATGATGCATTCTGTTAGCTGAGTGTATAAGTAGTTTTGACTTGAGACAATATTTTATTAATGCCTGATTTTAATCAGGGTTGAGCCAAAGGCCACACAGTCAAGGAGTGGAGTCCACAGTGAATAACTGGCAGGTTAAATGTAGTATTGCAACATTAAAAAAAAATTCATTCAATTTTGTAAGTTCTTACAAATTAGTATGGATCTTGGCACCATTTTTAGATCATGCAGTAGAAGGGTTTTTTGTGTATATGGGGGAAGAGGTTCCCTCCCCCCAACATATAATCATCTGGCTAGTTCACAGTTAAAAAAAAATTCTTGCAGCTCTATCACAGGATTCTTTCCCCATCTTAAAAATCAAACATTTTGTTTAAGATGTATACATGCACTGATTACAGTTTACCACTATACCTTGTTTCAGCTTCAGATACAACTGGCACTTCTTTCTTCTTTTTCTTCTTTTTGCCCACTTCATTGTTCAATACAACTTTTTGGCTTTGAACACTGGAGGTGAATTCAGACATCTGTTCTTTAAGTTTTTTTCTTATTTTCTCCTTAATTATATTTGCCTCATCCTCAGCCACTTGCAGCTGATAGGCTTGAATTAGCTGTTCTTCCTCTTCTAATTCAGTAACATCTCTCGCTTCATTCAAGGTACTTTTTATCTTGTTGTTACCTTTTTGACGAGATGCATCTGTTTGTGATTTACTTTTTGTTTTTTTCTTTGGCAAATCAGTAATCTGTTTTTCAAAACTCTCCAATTTAGTTTCATATACCTTTTCCTCCTCATTAAATTGTTCTTGTAACACTGCTTTCTTTTTCTTCTTGTTAGACTTTGGTTGCTTGTTTTCTTCTCCACTAACAACATCATTGTTTATTTTTTCTGCAACTGAGGCTTTGTCTCTTAGTTTGTTTTTTGTAAACCGGGGGCTCTTTTCCTCAGGATTATAAGTGTTGTTTATAATTACCTCATCATTTCCACTTTCTTTAGCTAGATCAAGATTATTTCTAAAGGTGTCAAGCTAGAAATAAAAACAGAGAACATAATTTTAAGTATATATCATATGTAATGTTGCAATAATAAAAATAGTTTAGTACATTATCAGTTTACACTATGTGGTGAAATATAAAAGTGATATTAGTCATCTAATCATTGTCTTGTTTAAATCTAACAAGTACCAGATGGTACAGATCATTCATGCTTAAAATAAGTGTTTGTATTTGGACAGCTTGAAATCTGTACTTCCAACATTCTTTTTAAACAAGCACCATACGTATATATTCACCACACAGTAAAATTCAAAACTACCTCAATGAACAGGACTACTCCATAATGATATGTCAATGTAATACATTTTGAAAGATCTGCAGAAATGAAATGCAGAACCAAAACATGTCTCAAACGGATATAAATATTAATGTTAGAGGTGCCAATGCCTGTCTGGACTCCTTTTTACCATGAGCAGTGTGCCAAAGTTTGGCAATGAAAATCACTTTCCAAAAGACAAACTTGATAAAATTTAACAACTGACAACTCTTAAGATGACAGCTCTTATAAAACTATGGAAAAAATTCTATTAATAAACAACTCTTATTAAAGGGACAGAGTCAACCTGAAATCTAGTCCACTTTCAAAAACGTAGTTAAAAGTATTTTCAGATAATACTCCCGCCCTTTGAATCCCTCTGTCAATTTTTGTGGTTTTGCAAAATACTTTTAAGGTTTCACTTCCTTTATGGATGAATGAAAAACCCACACAGACAACACAGCAAACTTAATACAGGCCTGATCCTGCACTGAGCTCCACATAGGTACGTCCCTGAGCTTGTGTGGGGCTCCTATTAAGTCAGTGGGGCTCCATGTGGGTTCAGGGGGTTGCCAAAGTGAAGCTCATTGCAGGATTGGGGTGTTACTAACTACACAGGGGTAAATAGTAGAACTAACTATAAAGAAAGAGATTTCAGATGCGCACACACACAAAAACCAATAACTAAAATATATATTTTCCCCTCTGATTTCTTCCAGTACAAATATTTTATTTCAGTGCTTTTCAACCTTTTCCTTGCCATTACCCTATTTTTCAATAGCAAGACAATCCTGGGACTCCCTTCCCATCTAGCTAGGAAGGGCACAGTGGCGAAAGCGCCCTTGACACCTTTTCACAAACCCCAGGTTGAGAACCCCTATCACAGGTGTTACTTGTAAGAATAGCAGATAAAAAAAAATCGAAGACAAACCAATTTTAGATTGATAGGGTTCCTTTAAGTAATGTTTTTTTGTTTTTTTTTTTAAATACCTAAGGACATTATATAAGAACATGACATTTAAATATTCATCTGGTCTGTCTAGATAATGCCACTAAATGTCATTCTGAGGGGTTGTGAAAGGGGTTGGAGAAGGAGGGAAGGAAGCAGGAAGGCCCAACCCTAGACAGGGGCAAAGCATGTAGCTACAAAGGCAAACACACTTTTAGAATCTCTGATTTCTAGAAATCCATCTCTGAAGAGTGAGAGAAGGATACGGTTGATCTTTCATGTGGCTAACCAAGAAAAGTTGATTACTCCCTATCTGCCAGCCATCTGCGTCCATCACAAGTTTCACCTCAGCTATCTTAGCTGCCAAACCTTCCCCTCTACCCTTGAGATGAGGAGGAAGTCTGTTTTGGCCATGACTGACATTGGGGGGGGAGAGAGGGAAGAGAGATTACAAAAAGAGGTAGAAAAGACATTGGAGATGTTGAAGAAAGAAGGGAGGGGTTGAGAGAGAGAGAGAGAGAGAGAGAATTATTATTCATACTAGAAAAATAAATTGGAGGGATAAACAGAGAGTGGGAGAAAAAATGCACCAACATAGAGTCAACATAAAGAAAAAGGGAGTGAAGGAAAGGAAAGAGAAGCATAAACCCAGACACAGTAATGTAAAAAACGCATGCTAAAATATTAAATTAAGCAATTCTATTAAAAGTGGGATGTAAATGAATGGAAGTGTTGGGGACCCCCCCTAGGCATAGCTACCAGGTAACTCGGGAGAGT